TCTGTAAAATTGTTCATGGAAAGCCATCTCCCCATTTGCCCCCAGTTGGCAATAGAGTTAGGGGGTAATAGAGAATACCACTGGGATGCAAGCCCCGCCAATGAATTCCCAAACAACCTTAACTTGTAGTTTGGGTTGTCTTCATACGCCACCCAGTGATTAGAGAACTTGAAAATGTGATCTCTAGAGGACACACTGCTGTCCTCACCCGTGAATGTTGGGAATGCGGGCATCTTGAAGTTGGGAGGAAATGGATTCTGTTCATCGATGTATTCAGGATAAGGCTTTTGATAAGTAATCCTGAACGCTGGGCGAGCTCGGGGTTGAGCATTTTGGACTACTGCCCTCCTTAATTCAGCCAACTCATCTCTCAGTTGTTGAGTAGCTATATTATTCTGGAAAAGAAGGGCGGACTCATCCTTCGGGCTTCAGTCATTGCCAATGAATGTTTCTTTCTTCGATTCAGGCTTTCTCCAGTTGGTTCCCCCTCTTTTATAAGTCAACGGTGGTGGCCTATAAGGAAAAGGTTTGTCCGGAGCTGCAGAGCTTTCTTTTTGGCTTGACTCTCTTGTTATTATGGGCATCCCATACTTTTTCCTCTCTTGCTCGCTTTGCTTCCTATTGTTAAATGCTAACAACGGGAAGCTAGGAACTCCTTTTCCAGGACCGGCTCTATCACGGGTTGACTTCCTTCAGAGACTGCTTTTCTTTTTCCCCTATCTGTTTCTTCCTCCAATAGTGGAAATAGGGGAATAACTGGCTCACTTTTGATGGTACCCTGGCTCACCCCACTTCCTTGAGTGCTTTTTGGAGTGGAGAACTCCAGATCGAGCCTTCTCTATAAATTACCTGTCAAGGTACATAGTCTACTGACCTCCCCCTTTGTCTCCAAAGAGATCTTTTCCATGCTCCTCAACACTTGTATCATAGTGGCCTGTAATTCCTCATGGGTTCCTTTTCCTTCTGACTTTCCGGATGAGAATGGGCTTTCTAGGACCACCCGTTGTGATGGGGAAGAATGATTGCTTGATTGATCTGTCATTGGTGGCAAAGTTGAGAAGAATCGCTCTTCGTTTTCTTTTCACAAAGTGTATGGCTTTTCTTACTGGGCATGCAAGATTTACACAAAAGAGTGATCCTACCGGGCGTGCCAAAACTATGTTCGTGGTGGAAATTTCCCGTGGGGGATGCTTCTTGTCCGACGAGCACACAGCTCCCCGAGAGGTTTGGCGCCAGTTGATGCTTTTCTGTCGGGCTCCTGCTTTACTAGCGGGCTTGTTAGGCAAGGTTGAAAGAGAAGGACAGAGTTAACTTTGAAAGGTGCCTTTGTGAGGCCTTAGGTGTAGGCCTTGAGGCTCACAATCAAGATTAACTTATAAGTGTTCAGGCGTGCCACTGCCATCTTCAATATGGCAGATGTAGAACAGATGTTTGAGTTTAATTATATATTCGAAAGACTATGTTAGTTATTGACAGGTGCCTTTGTGGGGCCTTAGGCATAGGCCTTGAGGCTTCCCATAAATAACTAACTTAGTATTTGAACATATAAGGTTCCTTTTCTTGGTTATGTAGATCTTATAACCATCATACTTCTGATTACCTGAACTTAAAGAGCATAATGGATCCAAATAGGTGCCTTTGTGGGGCCTTGAATAGGCCTTGAGGCTTTCCATTATAACCCCTTCCATTCTCAATGTTCTTGCCTGAGAAACAGGATGAATCCAAATAGGTGCCTTTGCGGGGCCTTAGATGTAGGCCTTGAGGCTTCCCATCAGAATTCATCCCGTCCCCGAACGTTATATGGTAATCATAATATCACAGCAATAAAACTAAGTGATAGGTCAATTACTTGCGCCCCAAGTAACTTCGGACTTCTTGTTATCAAAGCTTGTAGTGGATGGGTTAAGTCCACATCAGGTTCTTTTTTATGCCTTGAGGCCAAGGACTTTTAGGGTGATCAAATCTTAAATGCCCGAGGGCTTAGAACTTAGATCTGACTTGAACTGTGGAGACATATTCAAATCGGATCTAAGCACTGAGAGAATCTTTTGATAGCCATATTACTAGAAATAACTTGGATATAACTTGTAGTATACAACATATTGCTAGGCTAATGAATGCATAGACAAAAACAAAGAGGGTCGGGCAAGGTTTAACCTTGTCGGGCAAGGCTGATCGTCTTGCAAGAGGTTTGAAAGCTTAGAAAAAGGGTAGGGAGGTGAGTTTACAGGAGGAATCGATACTACAGCAAGAGTTGAGCAGGGTAGTAGAGCTATTACAAAAGGTTTATCCCGAAAGGGATGAAGGCTTGGGCTGACTATAGCTTCGTTTTGAAGGCAAATCTGGCTTTGAGCAGAGTTTGTGCTTGTATTTGTTTGTTTGAGTGTCCTTGATTCTGACCTCTCCTGCTCCTTTTATAGACACCTTGGCTTGGCATCCTGTAGCAACAATCTTGCCCGAATGCAATTTGAAGGGTAGTGGCTCATCAGCTATTTTACTTGTACTGCCATCTAAAAGTACTTTTTGGGTTGTATAGCTGGCTGGTCTATACCACTTGGCCTTTGGGTAGGTAAGCAAGTGGTCAACATGGTCTGCACCTAGTTAGAAACAGGCTTCTCCTATCTTCTGGACTTCGGCTGGGTTCTGACTGGGCCTCCGAGTATCTTTCCCCTTTAGGCTGCTCTTTGGGCCAACTTGCCCCAAGCCCAAAGTTTAAGTTTTGATCCAAACACTGGGTTTATATTATCTCCCACTTTTACCATTTTAATTAGTGGTAGAATGTCGCCACATAGTAGCTAAATTACGAGTGAATGACAGTTGATATATATTAATTAGATATGTATTATTTATGATATATAAACATAATATCACATGGCGGTGCGACAATCATACCGAAAATTTGTAGTAATTTACATGCTAAAAACAATGCACTCTAATTTTGAAGAGGTTTTTTCAGTGTGCCCGTGTTTCAGTGTGTTTGTGTGAACTGCATGTTACTTCTGTTTCTTTTGTATATTAGGGAACCAAAACGTTTAGTTTCGTCTTGTTCATTGTACAATGTCTTTCCATGTCAGCTTAGTTGAATGTATATAAAAATGAAGCTGCATATCTTACCGATCTCATTCACTCATCTATCCCTCTCTTCATTCATGATTGTGTTGAATTTATTTAGGTAAAATGTATTTTATTCATGCATTTCAAAGTAATGCATTCAAGTCCCGCAGCAACGTGCAAGCACATTTTTAGATCGCCACTATTATGAAATCAAAATATGTAAAACTTTCGTCAAAATTAACAAAATAACTAAGTTCTATCCCATTAAGTAGGTGGGCTGTATAAATTTTAGAGCGCAACTGCGCTTAATTTTATACCAAATCTTCCGTTAACTCTAAATACACCGTATCTTTTCTTATAACCTGTTTCAGAATCCTCCTCTATCTTTTTTGTTTTAAACCTAAAAATACGTTGTTGCAGTACTGCAATTTGTATCTTAAAAGAAGCTGTATGGAGTAACATGCTATTCTACATTGTTCTACCATACACATTGGCTTGTAATAAAACCACCTCATTGCCAAAAAACACAGGTTCAAGCTCTCATAAGCTGGAAGAACACTTCCAATTTGTTCTCGCCTTCACTACTCGATTCATGGTCCCTCACCAACCTTAACAACCTCTCACGGCAATTATCTGCGACCAAAACACAAAAGCAGCTACCCAAGTAGACCTCTCCAACTTCAGCATCATTGGCACACTAACAGAATTCAACTTGGCCACATATTTCAGGCTATATCCCCAGATATTGGAAACATGAAGTCACTGGTGAGCTTGGATGATATTGCAAGAGGAGTGCAATCCGGCCAAGTTGTTGCCGTTAAGAGGCTTAACATGTCAGATTCTAATGACATTCCAGCCATCAACCTCCAAAGTTTTCAGAATGAAATCCGAACACTAACAAACCTCCGGCACTTGAGCCTTGTAAGGTTACAAGCCTAATTTTGCAGTAGGTTGGTTTGCCCCACTAGAGCTAACCTGCAAAATTGGACCACGCGAACCCATACAACTTACGGCTGTCGCACAACCCACATTAGACACCCACTCCAAACCATGACAGCTAGGGACTTGTGGGATCTCCCATTTCTTCCTCTCTTTTTTCTCCCTTTTTTTTAATTTCAAGAAAATAAATTGAAAATAGCAGTAACGGCCATTGTTACATATTCTGGGTATCTTTGAATTTAGATTTTATGCCTGTTAGATGGCAGCTGGTTGATAGTTACGTATGCAAATTCTTTAGTTGTATCTGATGCCATATAGAAGAATCACCAGACGAGTACTATTATATGTCTATGTCTCTTATCATGTGACTTAATTTGAGTAGAAAACTTGATTACTAACAATCATCCAACAAGTGGTTGAAGTTGGACAAAATTGCGTATTACCGGTCATATATGCGTGACTAAATTGTGTACTGCTAATTGATGCCATCTTTTCGGAAATATTTTGTCCACCACTCTCTTTAGATGAATTTGATTTAATCTTTTCATGCAGATATCGAAAATCTCTACTACAAACAACTGTAACAGTTGGAGGAAGGCACGCGTGTTTGTCTACGTATCTCATCGGACAACTTAAGAAAAGCACATCCAAACAAAAAACTTGACTAATTACAGTATTACAGATAAGAGATGTAGGCACAAAGTCTATACACGGTGACCGTGCAGAATCCCTCATTCCACAGCTAACCAATTTGACCGGTTCATATAACAATACAAAAACAAAAATTGACCAATTCTTCCCTACCTTTCTGACTAATCGACCGATTTTTGGAGTAGACCTAGAGACCCTCTCAAAGTCCAGTCTCATTACCATTTGGCGGACTTTTCTGCTTTCAATATATATGGTGCTATCCGCACTCATGTTTACTACACACACCCTCAACTTCTGACATCAAATCAAATGAATTAAAGATCAACGGGCAGAAATTAACAAAAACGTGTAGAACATAACGAGTGAATATTAGAGAAGATTTGATAGTGATCACAAATCAATCGTGTCCAGATCTCTAACTCAATCAAATCCAAGGAGTTTAATAAACTGAGTAATGGAAAATGTAAGGTACAAACTAAATTAGAGATCAACGTTTATGGCATCCGTACTAATGGTTTCTTAGTTCAATGTCTAAATTGCCGCACAAAATCATAAATCAGCTCTCGTTGCTCCCAGGGGATCATTGTAATCGTTCAACTGCGCCAGAATCCCAAGTCATTTCTATTCTAAACAAAGAATGGGAAAGAAATAATTCAATTTATGGATGATCCCCACATTCATATACCATCACTTTTCTTTTAGATTAAAACTGAAAGAGATGAAAAAGAAAGCACGAATAAGAAATCAAAGTTGGCGTCTTTCGGGGTTGAAATCTTTATCTCAGTGAGTAATCCCGGACAGACCATCTAGAAATGAGTCCATGGTATGAATGTCTAGTCCTCTAGTCCGTCCAGGCGCCCCTCCTTTGAGGGATGACACATCCAGCACGATCCTGCTCATCAGACCGTGTAGACATGTAAACAAGCTGAATATCTTATGCTATATATGACTAAACGAGCAATGAAAAAGAAACTTACATGTTCGTCGATGCTTTTTCTAGTTCTGGAGTTCTGGAGTTTATGATGATTTTGTTATCAATCTTGGTCAACGAATGGTCCATTGGCAGATCAACCACTTTAGTTGCTGAAGTGGGAAGTTTTAACTCATTAAATTTCGATTTAATATATTATAAAATTAGTGAGAACCAAGTTCATTTGAACCGCTTCTTACCTGATTTAGGAGCTGCAGTGACAGTTCCATCTAGCCCCAAGAGTTCCTACACAAACAGGTGAATATGGTATCCGTAATAAGTACATGTAACCAACTGACGGTAATTTGTAAATATACAAGTTCACAAGAAGCATCGGTGCAATCCAATCACAGTGGGTGCAGCTACCTTTAGACTCTGGTAACAGTCTTCCAGGTTATCATTATACAACATATGATCAAAGATGCCTGATGACTGCCCTAGATCAATCTCTGTCTTGGCATTTCGAAGTCGCTTTAGGACCTGTTCCTCTGTCTCAGTTCCCCTGTTTCCATATTCAACCATGCTCAGAACAGGAACATGGAAAGAGGAATTTGAGGATGAGAAATAATAAATGGCATATTAAACTACCTTGCACGAAGGCGCTTCTCAAGCTCTTCCATTGAGGGTGGACATACGAAGATGAAGATAGCTTCAAGTGAACTGGCTCTCACGGATCTTGCCCCTTGAACATCGATGTCAAGAATGCATCTCTACATTGAAAGAAAACAACATTACACACAGCAGCTCTGACACTATTAGGGTGTATAGAAAATATCACATCAATTGAATATGAGTTTACTAACAAACTTGAATATGAGTTTGATGGGTCACCCTTGAATTTCCCCAATTTGGAAACCCAAGAATATTCCACCCCTCATATACAGCGGACCTTGGTCGGTAATTGTGAATTAAATTATGAGAGCTGACATTGTCCCGCAGCAATACCAGACTATTAACTAGAGAAATTCCAAAGACATTGGGACAGATCCAGACAGTAAATCAAACATGATAAAAAAAACTGAGCCAGACTCCAACACTCCATAATCATCATAAAATAGAAACAGTTTTTTCAAAGAACACAAAATTACAACATTTACCTTCCCATCATCTGCTACGAGTTCTACTGCCTCAACACTAGTTCCGTAGAGATTTCCATGCACAGAAGCAAACTCAAGGAACTTGCCATCTTCTAATTCTTTCTCCATGATACTCCTCTCAATGAAATGGTAATGGACCCCATCCTTTTCCATAGCTCTTGCAGCACGGGTTGTGTGGCTCACAGAGAATCCAAACATGGATGGATATTCTTTCATGAGCATGGATATTAGTGTCCCCTTACCTACCCCGGAAGGACCACTAATAACAACTGGCTTCTCAGAACAGCCACTCACACCCTTACTCCACGCAACAACCTCGGTGCCCAAAATTTTCTTCTGCTGCCTAACATATTGGGTGTCCACCTAACAAAACAAAACGCTTTCAGCGATAGGGATGACCAGGTAACCATCTAAAAGTAATATGCAATAGATACAAGCATGATAACTGAAAAGGTCCAGTTCAATTAACAGAAGCAAGGAAAGGAGTTAGTTTGCTCTCCACATCAATTGAATATGAGTTTATACCAAACTTAACAGTTTGAAACTTCTATTTTAATTTTAGTGCAGCCTCACTATTTGTACCATTGTCTCAACTTAATCAATTCCTAAGCAAGACAAAAATTTGACATCATTTATTATGTTCCTTTATAATATCTGAATGATTCCATAGGTACCAACCTCAAGAAACCAAGCAAAATCGTCTGCGCTGGAACCATTCTTGGTAATCAATATTCGGTCTTCACCTAAAAGCACTGCTGAATGGCCTTTCGATGGCTTGGGTTTTGTTCCCAACACAGTAGGATTTATCCTGCAAAGTTAAACCAGAAATTAGCAACAGCAAATCACGAGAAAGTAATTCATTACCAAGAGCCACACACTTACCATTCACCACTGGATTGATCTAGAATACGAACTCCAATTGACAATGCCGATTCCTCACAGGCTCCACCAATCACATACTGTCAAAAAATGCACTGGCAATATGATTGACCTGGTGGTAAATCACTGACATTGGACGAGAAAAACATATTGATATGTTAAATATCATACTGTTCTGTTGCAGTAGGCAACGGAAGTTTCACCGCCTTTTGATTTTACATCGAAACCATTTGCAAATCCCTTCTGCAGCTCATCAACAAAGAATGCTGGTGCTTCACCCTGATGACAACAGCAACCAATATCTATCAAATCACAGCAACTCAAAGCAACTGTCTTGGTTCACATGTAGGCATCATCTCTAATTACATTCCTGATCAAAGTTCGTTTCTTTACACCGAAATTAAGCGTAAAACAAGTATGAGGCGCTTACCATGGAAAAAGCTATTCCTGCAACTCTAGATTCCCCCTGATCAGTAGAGATGGAGATAGATGAGAGTAATTCGATATTTCCTGGATCTAAATAATACATAAAAAACTTAAAACCGAATCACAACAGAAAACCGAAAAAATGAGTTGGAACCGTGTAAACATCTCAATGAGCTACAAAGCAGAAACAAACACACAGACAAGAAAAAAAAATCAGAGAAAACGATGCCACGATGCCACAAAAATACAACTGTTGATTTCTGTCAAAATTTCTTCATAAGCCACATATATCTATCCAAAAACAAACAAAAAATAAACAAATGGGCAGAGAGCAAAGAACATCAAAATGCAGAAAAACACAAAAAACCTAAAACATATGGATCAAATCCCTTCGAAATCCCAAAAAAAATATTGGGTAAAAAGGAAACGGACCCAAATACCTTTCTGTGAGCAGCAATCGCTCTGTGACGAAAAGCAAGCTTAGTTCTTGGCAGGGATGGAATTTCAGAGGGGAAAACAACGATTTAAAAGGCCAGTTGGTGTGCTACTTTTTCAAGGTGAAGTTTTGGGGAGGCTTAGAAATCAAATCAACACAAACTTGGGGTGGAAAAAATCACAGGAGTGGTAGAATAAGGTGCAAGAAATCTGGGCGTGTATTCTCATATTTGTAGCAAGAGAAAAGGGGAATCTTACTTTAGTCCAAATGCTGTCGTGGAGGAAGTTGGGGGGGGGGGGGGGGGGGGGGGGGTGAGGGGGGGGAGGGGGAGAGTTGTGGGGAATGGAGAAAGAGAAAAGGGGTGAAAGCCCTCTTGATGTGGTCGCATTCAATTCACTACACAGAGAAGACCGGCTTTCGTTTTCTTGTAAGGTGCTTATGAAGCTTCTTCCCTTTCCCCACCGCTTCGTCCTTTTTTTCTCCTTTTTTTTTTAATTTTTGGGCTTCTAGATTTCTTTTTGAGATCAGGACTTCTAGATTTTTATGTATGCGATTATCCCTTGGGAGAACAAAAAAGGAAAACAAAACCCTATTTTCTTTAAATTAAAAGGAAATATTTTTGCTGTACACTAAAGTGATGGTGATGTAAACCAGGGCTGAAATTTTGTTTCGAAAATTTCAAACCAAATTAAAAAAATCTGATTTCATACCAAAAAAATTTCAAACCAATAATACCAAAATTTTTGGAATTTATACCGAACCGATCCTGAACTTTCAGTATGGAAATCGGGATTTCATATCCAGAAATCCCGAACCGAACCGAAAATACATATATATATATATTTTGGTTGCATGCATGTTAAATGTTGAATTCAAGTAATTTGATAGTAGACTATATTAGAAATAGAAATATGAAATTAAGTAGTTTGGAACTTGGGAACATCAATTTGACTTGGTAAGAATGAATTGGTATTTCAATTAGTATGAGATTTTAAATTGGCAATAGATAAAAAGCCTAAATTTTAATTGATATGAAATTGGGCAACAAAATTTCAAGCCGAAAGCCCAAATTTTAGCCCACTACCCAAAAATCTCAAATTTCCGCCCAAAAGCCCAAAAAAAAAAAAATTCAAGTCTCAATCCATCCCGAATATTAGGAATACCATAATTTTGATTTGGGATTGGTCTTCAAATTCTCGTCCCGAAAATTTTTGGTTTGGGATTGGGATTGGGATTGGGATCTCATACCAAAACCCCTAATGTAAACTACTTGATTCATTATTACTAGAGGTTGGTTGGGATTGTGGTGCTTTTAAAAAAAAAAAACAACTTATTAAAAAACCTGAAACATTAAAGTCCTGTTTGGTATCCTATTTAAAAATTTTTATCATTTCTCATAACATTTCTTGAAAATAATTTTCTTTAAGACTCAAAAACTTGATTGGTTTGCTATTTAAAATTTTTAAATCTTACGACTTAAACTAGATAAAGATATCTAAAAAGAGAGGGGTCGCAAGAGAGAAAGTAAGAGATGATTGAAGAAAAGACAGAGAAAAGAGAGAATCGGACGAGATAGAGAGGAATGAGTGAGAGAAAAAATCGAGAGAATGAAGAAAGCAGATTGAAGGAGAGACGAAAAAGGTAAAAAAAAATACAAAGGAGAGAGAGAAGGAGGGACAGGAAAAAAAAAGTGAGTTTAAGTTTAAAAACTCTAAAAACTCATTTTTTATGTTTTTAGAGAATATACTATATTTTTTAGTTTGGTATTGAGTTCAGTTTTTTAAAGTAGTCCTACTAAACAAGTAATCAATGCTCATTTAATGAAATTTTGAAATGGAAAGTATTAAACCCCACATGTTTTACAAAATGACAATATTTGCCTCTACATTATTGTCTTTTACAATTATTGTATCACATTAAATGTCATATCATTTTTAGTTATTTAACATATTCAAAGCAATTTATATAAAAAGTTTACTAAACACTCAGACACTGTTTTTTCTATTAAAAGCACTTTAACAGGAAAAAAAAAAGTTTACCAAACACTCAACAACTTTATTTTATAGTTGTTTATTCTCATAGTACAACAGAAACAACTTTTTCAAAAAAACACAGCAATACAAAACTAGCCCTAAATCAAACTAATTTATTGGTAATTCATAAACTGGTTGTAATAGAATGATGAAAAAAAATGCACTCAAATTAAAAAGAGTCCAAAAGAAAGGATAATAATTGCATCTTCTAATTGGATTACCTCATCCTCAAGTAATTCGCACTTTGCGGTTTAATTTTTTTCATCTCTTTTTTATTCCTAAAGTTATGATTTTCTCTCAAAATCATACTTTTGTTGGTCTATCAATTAAATCTCAGTTAAACAATGACGTGGCAGGTCATTAGCCTCACCAAAAAAATTAAAATTAATAATAATAAAATGAATTTTATTACTATAAAAACATAAATATAAAATCATTTTTATTACTATGAAAACATAAATATTGAAAAGTTAAAATTAAACACAAAGAAAAAAAATATTTCTCTACCACTCACATCCCTAAGGGTGCGTTTGTTGCAACAGACTATCTCGGACTAGACTAATTTCAAGGACTGAGTTGGATTGACTTAGAATAAATTAAGCTAAATTAACTTAGTGAATTTGGTGTAATATCACACTAAAGTGAGTTTGGTGTAATATAGTGTGCAAGATAATAAAATGCATTTCCTTTTTTTTTTCTTTTCCTATTCTAGAACTCTCTTCCTCTCTCGTGAAACCTCTCTCTTCCCTTTTCCTCTCCCACTTTTCCCGTCAAACCCCATCTTCATCTTCTCACGAATTACAAAACATGAAGCCCAAATTTCACAAGTTTATCACAATCACAAAATACAAATACCAAATTTCACAACTTTCTCCCTAATTTCACAATTGAAATCAAAATCACCAGGGTCTGCCCTAATCGCGATGGCGATGCTCCCAAATTTACAGTGTCGACGACGCTCAGTTGTTTCCCCATCACCGACGAAAATCCCAACTAGTGTTAGGAGTACTAAGATCCAATGGTTATGAAATGAACAAGTGTCAAAAAGAGTATGAAGTTAGTTGAGTTGGTTATGTTGTGATTTAAAGTGTAAGCTACCAAAGGCTATTATAAATAGCTTGTAACAAATCATTGTAACTAATGAGTAAAAAGATATTACAGTTTAATAACAGATTTCTCTCTCTAACATCTCATTCTTCTACTTCTCTCTCTATCTTTCTTTCTTCATCCTTTCTTGTTTCTGTATAATCTTCTTCTTCAAAAACCTCAAATGGTTTACATGGTATCAGAGCCCGAACAAGCAGGAAAAGCTTGACGGTGTGTCGATCTTGGTTTCGATTGCTTCCGCTACTGTGATTGGTTTTGCTTTAGTTTTCTGGAATATTGGTATATTTTTTTTATCGTGTTTCTGGTATATTGGGTGTTCTTTCTGCAAATCTTTGTCTGGTTCTTCACTCTTCAAAGGGTGCCGATCAACTGTTTGTGATTTGGTTTCAGTCAAGATTCTTTGTAATTTCTCTACAATCTGCAACAATGGTAACAGCTGCTCAGTTACAGATCTTACAGTCTCCGATTACTTCTTTGATTTCATCTGTTTCCAGTTCGGTAAATGTGAAATTGGACGAGACGAACTATTTGGCTTGGCATTTTCAGATGCAGCTGTTTCTTGAAGGCCATAGCATAATTGGTTTCGTTGATGGTTCAATGCCGTGTCCTGCTCAATTCAGTCAAGATTCCTCTGCTACTTCTGCAGTTTTGTCTGGTGATTCTTCTACAAGGGTTCCTTCTGATGACTACACTATATGGAAGATGCATGATAAAGCGTTAATGCAATTGATCACTGCAACTCTATCTCATGCTGCAGTTTCTTGTGTAATTGGAAGCACTAGCTTCAAAGAATTGTGGAAACGCCTTAAAGACCAATTTTCTACAGTCACAAGAATGAGTATCTTCCAACTCAAATCCGAACTTCAGACAATAAAGAAGGGTAATGATTCTGTCACATTATATTTGCAGAAAATTAAAGAAGCAAGATATTTGTTGTCTGCTGCTGGTGTATTCTTTGATGATGATGACATTGTGATTCTTACACTAAATGGTTTGCCTGCTGAATTCAATACCATAAGATCTGTGATCAGGGGTCGGGAGAGTGTGATATCACTAAAAGATCTTCGATCTCAATTACTTGCTGAAGAAACTTTGCTTGAAAATTGTTCTCATTCACCTATGTTGTCTGCATTAATGGCCCAAAGTAATGGTTTACCTTCCAAGAATCAATCTTTTTCTGGCAATTATGGCAATAATAACCATGCTAGTCCTAATTCGACTGCATATAAGTCCTTCAATAATAACAAAGGCAGGAATCGGTTCACTCCTAACTTCAATCCAAAGTATGGCAACTACAAGAATTTTCATTCAAGTCCTGCTCCTGGAATCCTCGGTACTTCCCCACTAAGATCAAACAATTATGGATTTCAGTCTCAACCCTGTCAAATTTGTGGGAAACACAATCATTTGGCATCAACATGTCGTTTCCGAAATACAAACTCTTTACAGGGTTGCCAAATCTGTGGCAAGAACAACCATTTTGCGGATACTTACAGATTTCGAAACTCAGGTGCTCCTTCCGGATGTATCATATATGGAAACCAATATCACAATGCAGACACATGCTTTCAAAAGAATTCTACTCCTCAACTCAATGCTCTGCATGCTACAACACTTAATGGTCCATATTCTCCATTCACATTGCCATCTGCACCATCACAACAACATGTATGGCTTACTGATTCTGGTGCCAATAATCACATGACCTCAGATTTGAGTAATCTCTCATTGGCAACTTCATATCCAACACATGAGACAATTCAGACAGCGACTGGTGGAGGTTTAGCAATATCTCATATTGGTTCTACTCTTCTCAGAACTCCAAAGCAGCCTATTCAACTTACTTCAGTCCTTTATGTACCAAAATTGTCTCAAAATCTGTTGTATGTGCATAGGATTTGTCTGGATAATAATTGTTGGTTGATTTTTTATGCGTTTTCATTTTGGATTCAGGACAAAGCCACAGGGAGGATATTTTACAAAGGGCTGTGTAATAATGGATTGTACCCCATCATCTCTTCAACCTCTCCTGCAGCAATTTCCAAAGGATAACCTGCAACCTTTCTGGGAAAGCAAGTTACCAACAGTATTTGGCATAAGAGATTAGGTCACCTTTCTAATCCAATAGTTTCTCAAGTTCTTACATCTTCAAATGTTTCATGT